TATATATATATATATATATATATATAAAGAGTTTGACGTAGTTTGAAGTTTTGGCTTTTAAAGTACTTTGCCTGCAAGAGTTCCATGTAAATATGTTTTCTGTTCTTTATACAAACTGACATCAACATTATTTTATGTAGTAATCAAAAACAGACCACAGATGCTGTCCAATATTATGTTGTAAAATAGGAATATTGCTTGAGCCTGCTGAATTACACATTTAAATATGTGTATGCTTGCAGTCAATTTTTTTTCTTAGCATATTTTAAATTGAGTACATTTCTGAAAAAAGGAAGTGAAATTAAATAAAATACCTGATCATTGTGTATTGTGGTCTGGTGTTATTTTATCAACATCATTTATTATTGTTATTATTATTATTGCTGATAATAATCTATATTTCCTGTAAGATTTAATTTAAAGCAATCTAATTTAAAGAAATCTTTCTTTAGCATTTTATTCATTTGCCACAAGAATACAATTTTTTTTATAAAAATTTTTTGCACTTGTATGTATGTATGTATGTATGTATGTATGTATGTGTGTGTGTGTGTATATATATATATATATATTTCTTTTGATTCAATATTATGCTGTAAAATAGGAATATTGCTTGAGCCTGCTGAATTACACATTTAAATATGTGTATGCTTGCAGTCAATTTTTTTTCTTAGCATATTTTAAATTGAGTACATTTCTGAAAAAAGGAAGTGAAATTAATTAAATAAAATGATCATTGTGTATTGTGGTCTGGTGTTATTTTATCAACATCATTTATTATTGTTATTATTATTATTGCTGATAATAATCTATATTTCCTGTAAGATTTAATTTAAAGCAATCTAATTTAAAGAAATCTTTCTTTAGCATCTTTTATTCATTTGCCACAAGAATACAATTTTTTTTATAAAAAATGTTTGCACTTGTATGTATGTATGTATGTATGTATGTATGTATGTGTGTGTGTGTGTATATATATATATATATATTTCTTTTGATTTTCCCTATAGAAATGAATGGTCAAGTGTGGTATCCTGTTTTTTGCAATAAGCCACACCCCCCTCTATATGAATAGAAGTCACTGTGGATGAGAAGCATCTGTTCTTTCTCTAAAAAAAATTTTCTTTGAATATAACCTCTCTCTCTCTCTCTCTCTCTCAACAGTGTGCCCATCGTCATGCAAGCACCGCGCCTGCACTAAAGACAACCAGTGCTGCCACGGCCAGTGTCTGGGCGGCTGCTTGGAGCCCAACTCGTCAAACAAATGTGTGGCCTGCCGCAACTACATGCACAATAACGTCTGCGTTGACAAGTGCCCAGCTGGTTTCTACACCTTTAAGGGCTGGCGCTGCGTCAGCTTCAGCTTTTGCCAGGAACTTCACAACAAGTGTAAGCAGAGCAAAGGTGACTGCCACGAATACGTCATCCACAACAGTGCCTGCATCCCAGAGTGCCCTTCTGGGTACACCACTATGAACTCCACTACGTAAGTAACCCGCTACTTGTACGCTCTCTACTCAGTGTACATGCATAAATACTAGTGCACATGTCCCCAAGTGTTTTAAAGGGTACTTCACATGCTACACATGTGCGTCAGGACCCATAAAAGCTCAATCTTTCGTGTATGAAATGTGACCTGTTAAGAGTGAGGTTGTCTGGGTCACTGGACCACTTTATGCCTCATTTAGACTTCAGACTTGAAAATGGAATAGATGGACTAGCCACTTGACTTTTCCTCTTGTATTTACATGAGAAACATGATTTTTATGCTTTTCATATGCTCAAACAGCACCAAGGACTCAATGTTGTTTATATGAACTGGTAAGCTGTCCATTGCTACTAAAAAAAAAACTGGGTTGGTTGTATAGCTGGTTTAAACTGGTCTAGCTAGTCTCCCAGTCTGAAAAATTTTAAAAATCCCTAAAACCAGCAGGCCAGACAAGTCTGACCAGGCTGAGAGACCTGCTAAGACCAGCAAAACAGCTTAGGCCGGTTTAAGTCATTTTTTCAGCATCCTTCCTGTTTGTCTCATTCATGGAACAGGAACAAGAAGTGAAGAAAAGTACTGAACTGCAAAGATGGCTTAGAGCGATCAGGGCTGTGCTGACCTCAATCGACTGTCTGAGTGCACAAAGGATAAAGAGCGAGTGAGAGAGTGTGTCAGAAAGCGAACGTTGTATGTTAATGAGAGGAGGTGTGTGAGTTTTAAAGCAGCGCTGCCTGCCGCTGTCCTAGTGTGAGGCTTGGCAGTGCTGTTTGTGCCCATTTAAAGAAGGTCTGAGCAGGAATTGGACGACTACAACAGACCACTAACCTCTGTTTTACAGAGCTTTTCAGAACAAAGTTTTGTATTGTTTGTTTGTCTGTAGTGGAAATATAGGATAACCAATGTCTCATAGCTTTATTCCCTCTCACGCTATTTCTATACACACATGCGTTTCTGTATGCAGAAGGATTGACGATTGTTCACATAAATGGTTTTTGTCACATTCTCAAAATGATTTTTAGTCTCTTTGGTCCATTCTCTTTGTTTAAATGGGAAACGCGTTTTAGCAACTATCCAGAGTTTGATATGAAGAGCAGCAGACAGGAAAAAATGTAGTGCTGTTCAGACATTATGGGATATGATTTTTACATTTTTTTTAAAAGTCTTTCGTGCTTACCAGGGCTGCATTTATTTGATCAAAATGAGAAAACTTCTTATTACATTTTAATTACAATTTTATTACAGTTATTACAATTTAAAATAACTGTTTTCTGTTCAATGTATTTTGAAATATAATTTATTCCTGTGATGGCAAAGCTGAGTTTTCAGCATCATTACTCCAGTCTTCAATGTCACATTTTCCTTCAGAAATTATTCTAATATACTTTTACTTTTACTTTTTACTTTTAGTCATTTAGCAGACGCTTTTATCCAAAGCGACTTACAAATAAGAAAATATATGATAATATATAATATGATATAATATATATAATATATCATATATAATATGCTGAGTTGATGCTCAAGAAATATTTCTTATAGTGCTGAGAGGTTTGGAACTCTCTCGGAATGCATGTACAACAGTTAGCGGAAGCTAGAGATTACGGTTTATTTTAAATATGGATATTTTTCTTAGACAAACGCATCGATTCACTTCAGGAGGCCTTTATTAACCCCCTGGAGCAATGTGGAGCACTTTTTATGATGGATGGATGCACTTTATTTTGCTTCAAAATCTCGACGACCATTCACTGCCATTATAAATCTTGGAAGAGCCAGGACATTTTTTTATCTAACTCCGGTTGTATTCGTCTGAAAGAAGAAAGTCATATATACCTAGGATGGCTTAAGGGTGAGTAAATCATGGGGTGATTTTCATTTTTGGGTGAACTATCCCTTTAACTTTTGAATGGTAGTGTGTTCAAAAGTTGAATGAAATGTCCATTTTATGCTGTAAGAGCCCTCCAAAACAATATCGGGCACTGGTGAAACATCTCCTGTAAAAATAGTGATTGCATTTGCTTGCAAAACATTTTAGTTTGATTATTTTTGTCCATAGAGTGAATAGGAATCTTCCATGATTTATTTTGTTTGCACCTTTGAGCTAAAACTTTTTTTTCTTACACAGAAATGAAAATTTGATCATTTTTAACTCACCCTCAAGTCACTTCAAACCATCTAATAGTTTATTCTACTGAGGAACTTAAAAATGTGTAATGTCTGAGCTGTTTTTGTCCAAAATGCAACAACACAAAATGGTGAGTCATACTGTCAGTCAGCAGAAAGCATAAGCACCATAAATGTTTCAGGAAATTAGTCCTTAAGACTCTTTCACTATATTCCAAGTCTTCTGAAGCCATACTATAGGTTTGTTTGTGTAACAGACTATATTTTGTGTGTAATGAGTTTCTCAGCGCAACTATTACATGGCTTCAAATGCTGTATGAACCACTTTTATGGTACTTTAATTTTTGGAGCTTGACAGTCTGAATCACCATCCCGTTTTGTTAAAGGTCCCCTGAAGTGCCTTGAAACACGCAGCATTATTCTATGTGGTGACGTAATTTCAACTGAAACAGGAAGACAGGGCGGGACATATCGAGCAGCCCTGCCCCTTTTTAAATTAGCCAATAACGTTTTTTATATCTGCACGGGTCAGAGCCGTTGAGCTCGGTAAAGCCGCATTTGACAGCCACAATCTAATAGATTACCCGTGCCATTCACTGTACAGGAAATACTACACTGTGAACAAAGCGACCGATCTCAGCCGCAGCTTCAGCGTCTATTTATAGTGCAGGGGGCGGGCTCTTCGGCTTCTAGAGAGCGTTTGATTGGTCAGATTGGTCGTTGAGCCGTTTTGGCGGAAGTGACGAACTAAAAGCTTTGAATGCTTATATCTTCTAAATGCGAATTTTGTCAATGTTTTGGAGCACACTGCCTTATAGATAACCTTAAGACTAACATATTGATACTAACACCCAAAAAACTTTAATTTTGATTTCATGGGGACTTTAAATCTAAAAAGCAGACCTAAAATTTACTTTTGTGTTTATTTGAATTTAAAAAATCATGTGGTTGAAGAAAAATTAACGAAGAGTAAATAATGACAGAAATGACCCTGTAATGCATGTTCTGCCAGATAGGACACTCCTTTTTTCGGTTACGCTTTTTCTTTCCCTCTTTCTCATGATACTCTTGCTGCCCCCGTGCCAGTATGACCCCTGGACTGGGCACTGTGGGTGCACTGTGGGAATTCAGACAGCAGACACACAAATCAAAGAGGCTGGACAGACACAGCGCAGTGGTCAGGCCTCTCGCATCGTGCTGCCGCCCTCGGTTATAGTCTCAGCATGCTAGCCAGCCTCCATTGAGATACCAGGAGTTTCGACATCCTGGTCTCATCAACTTGTCTCTGTCTGTCAGCTGCATAGACAGGGAGCGCCGTCTGGCCACTGACAGATAAATAACTCTTGAGTTGCATCCCTGCCGCAGGGAGACATGGCATACTGGACTCTGATGTGTCTGCAATACAGATTTCACCCACGCTCCAACTTCCCTTCAGATTAGCTGGATAAACCGCAGCACATTCTGTCCTTTTTGGCAGGTACCATAAAAGAGTATCATTTCGCAAAACACCGTGATGACCCATTCAAGGAATATACTTGTGCTTTACCCGATAGGTGGTTTGTGCACATTCGTGGCACGGCTTCACATCTGGTATCATGCTGTGACACTATTATAATTAAGACTTTTGGCATGGAAACCACGCCTCCATATCCTTTATTTTGCTTGTGGATTCACATTTTTATTGCGGTTGTTGTACAAATATGCGTAGTGTAGTTTCACAGGAAATAGTGGCACGGAAAGCATCCTGCACAGAAGACAAACAGTTCCTCAGTCAGGCCTGACGTATATGCAAAAACAATCAGTGATTAAGTTGTGCCTCTGGCACGTCTGAGAGGACGTCTCATTCATCCTTGATTGCACCCTCGGCCTGCCTTGCAAGGTCACCCGTGCTCCCGCTCCCAGCGCTAACACTTTGCGCAACAGGATCCACGTCCTTGACACAAACAATCGGTTATTGTCGTAATACTGCAAATTTGCTTAAATGTCAACGAGAATAGAAACTCCATCATATCTGCATTTCTTTGTTTCCGTGTTGTTCACAGCACTTGTGGATGAATGAATTTTGTTTGTTGTGTGGCTTTGTGTACATGTGACTCTGTGTTCTGCAGGTTGAACTGCACCCCTTGCGCTGGCCTCTGTCCCAAAGTGTGCATGGGGCTGAAGACAGTAGACTCAGTCACTGCTGCGCAGGCTCTGAGAGGATGCACTGTGATCAACGGCAGTTTGGTCATCAACATCCGCGGAGGGAGTAAGAACAAACAAACTCTTTAATACAATTTCTCCTCTTTGTGCAAGCGTAGAAGGACGTCTTTAGCGCTCTGGAATTCATGGTTCTGATTGGTTAATCAGCATTCTGCAAATGTTTTTGTATAATGACGACTAAACTATATAATTGGCTTTTGTCTGTGGCAGCCATTGCTCATACTATTGACACTATTGCTCATATAAATACACACACACTCTCATACACATACACAAAATTTTCTGTTTTCATTGATATTTAATTATAATCTGTCAATTATTCTAGAGTATGATATATATATATATACACACAATAATAATAATATTATTATTATTATTATTATAATTATTACAATATTATAATTATTAATTTGTAAGTCATTCAGGTGTATAATAATATTAATATAGTAATTAATTATATCATACATTTTGCACCTTGGGTGTGCATTCACTTCCAATAATTCAATGGTTCGCCATTAGTTATTTCTTATGTAATCAATCACAGAAACACATACAATCGTATGTACATTCAACAGAGTGCAGGTTTTCAAAAATTCCGATTTTAAACTTGCTCTCCATCCCTCCCTGTTAGATAACATAGCCGCAGAGCTGGAAGCTAACTTGGGACAGCTGGAGGAGATCACCGGCTACCTGACAGTACGACACTCATACGCCCTAGTCTCTCTATCTTTCCTTCGCAAACTCCGAATCATCCATGGAGAGACACAGGAAGTCGGGTATGAGTCTTGTCATAGGATTTGTCAAACCTAATAATCCCATGTCATCTATATATTCCCTCCTCTTCCCTTGTCCTCACTCGTGTGCTGTATTCTTTCCCATCAGGAATTATTCCTTCTATGCCCTCGATAACCAGAACCTGCGTCAGCTGTGGGACTGGACCAAACACAACCTGACCATCAAGCAGGGTCGCATGTTTTTCCATCATAATTCAAAACTCTGCATGTCAGAGATCCGGAAGATGGAGGAGGTGACAGGCACTAAGAACCGGCAAGCAAAGAATGACATTGTCTCAAAGACCAATGGAGATCAGGCTTCATGTGAGGAGGACATAGTGTTGCATTTCAGTTATGCTCGTGCTCTTTCTGAATAAATCTGAATGCATTTTTGTTCCTATTTCATTAGGTGAGAGCCAGGTTTTGAAGTTCACACAGATTCGCACGCTTTCTGACAAGATCATAATTAAATGGGAACCTTTCTGGCCACCAGATTTTCGAGACCTCCTGGGATTCATGGTTTTATACAAAGAGGCGTAAGTGACTTGACTTTTTATACCTTAATCAATCTAGACCGTTTGTTTACTGTGTTTTGAATGAGACTGTGAGGGATAGAAGTACTGTCCAAAATCCAGAGCATTTTGCCCACTGGAAACTTCTAAGTGAAGTCTATATTTTGTGTTTTGCCAACTTAATGGTCCATTCCAAGTTAAATGGACTGTACTTCCGCTTCGTTTTCATTTTCACCGTATTCAAAACGTCATCTACCCTGACTCTAAGGTCCATTTTATTGCTGTTCTTAGTTTGTAGTTTGAGTACATTGCAATAAAGTGATGATTTCTGTGTAAGGATTTGTTGACATTTCTCTCTGCTCCTCTAGGCCATATAAGAACGTGACTGAGTTTGATGGTCAGGACGCATGTGGCTCTAACAGCTGGGTCATAGCAGATGTAGACCCTCCGCCTCGTGCCACAGATGGAAAGGAACAGCAGGAGCCCGGGTACCTCATCCTCCCTCTGAAGCCGTGGACACAGTACGCCATCATGGTCAAAACCCAGCTCTCCGCTTCTGATGAACACCAAGTCCACGGAGCAAAGAGCGAAATCATCTATGTCCGCACCAATGCTACCAGTAAGAGCTTCAGAAGCAGTGTCTTGGGAAGATTATGAAGTTTTTTTTTGCGACTCCTTATACTGTCAAGCAAAATGAAACTTTGAAAATATGATTAGCTTTCCAAAAGTGGGGAGGACAAACCTAGAAATTTACAAAGTTGGGATAGTCGGTTCTTTGTATGCCCTTGCTCAAAACATCCATTTACTCTCTTAGAGCTTTGAATTTGAATTCTGATTTTGAATGCGTAATCTCTTCACCAAACCTGCTTAAAACTGAATTGAGTAATTTCTGAAGTTGTTTTCTGATTCCAGTTGCAGTGTTTATCGTGTAGGCTTGGCATGAGAGCAATAAAAGAGGTCAAAGGCTGGTAAAATAGGTTGCTGATGACTTTCAACAGTGTGAAATCACTCAGCAGTGTGCAGCATGACAGGCCGTGATTTAGGAGAAAAAACTAATGTGGTTTGGTTTCAGTGCTGCCAGGTGTCTGTCTGGCTTCCTTTTGAGCTTGTTTTGCCTTTTCTTCCTGATAAACCACATAACCCTTCACTAAGCTGAGAACATTGTTTCGGCAGCTGGTTGGCAAGGGCTGAAAGTAGTGCTTCTCTTTTCTTTTTTTCTTTTTTTCTTTTTTCTTCTGGTTTGGTCAACGGTTGGGATCGCATGCTGTGATATCGATGGTGCCCCTCCACTTCTTCCTTTTTAGCTGGAAACTGTCATTATTCTTCTTGTCTCATTGGTGACCCAGTTTGACAATGTGGTCTAGCCAGAATTGAGTTTAATCTACTGTTCTACTAGTCTACTTTTTTGGCTTTGATTTCATTTAAAATCATTCATGGTTTTTCCATATACCTATGTGTGCTTTTTGTTTTTTAGAACCCTCTGTGCCCCTGGACCCCATATCCTCATCGAACTCCTCATCTCAGATCATTCTGAAGTGGAAGCCCCCTAACGATCCAAATGGAAACATCACACACTACCTGGTCTTCTGCCAGCAGCAACCAGAGGCCAGCGAGCTCTATAAGTTTGATTACTGTCAGAAAGGTTAGAAAACATACAAGAATATAACATAGAACAAACACATTAGCGTTCAAAAGTATAGGGTTGGTAAGACTTGGACTATTATCTGTAATTATGCCAGAACAAAGTCTGAGCCTTGTGTTTCTGTTGTTCAGGTATGAAGCTGCCCACCAGAGCCCCCACACAAGTGGACAGTGAAGAGGAACAGAAGTGGAACCAAACCGAAGAGCAGGGCCAAGATAGCCGCTGCTGTGCTTGCCCCAAAACGGAGAAACAGCTGAGGAAAGAGGCAGAGGAGACAGAGTACCGCAAAACCTTCGAGAACTACCTCCATAATGAAGTCTTTGAGCTCAGGTAAACTTTCTGCTTCCTCGTTTAACTAGTGTAGATTAGAACAGCAAAGTGACACAGAGTAGTAAAAAATGGTTTTCTATGAAAAAAAATAGATTTTACTATTTTTGCACTCAATATATAGCATAGCATATATTATAGGGACTTTTTCATGTATAAACAATATATGGCACAATTATTCTTAACTTTTTCATATAGAGACAATATTTTTCATATATTACAGTCTTTTTAGATAGGCAATATATGGCATGCATAATAGAAACTGTATTTTAAGGGCAATATATAGCACACATTTTATAGGCTTTTTCCATATATAGGCAATATATTGCATACATTTATATAATTTTTTTCATATATAAATAATATCACACAGTCATATACACTGTAATATAAAGACTATATAGCATGCTGCACATTATATACACTTTCATATAAAGGCAATATATATAGCATAGATGCATTCTGTAGACTCATTCATCTATAAACAGTATATTGCATATATTATATAAACATTTTTCATATGTAGACAATTTATAGCATACATAACATACACTCTTTCATTTATAGGCAATATATAGCATACATTATATAGACTTTTTGCATATATAGTCAATATATATCATACATTAGGTCATTTTATTTGCATATAGTCAGTTTTCACATTGTTTCAAGGAGAGCATTGTGCAGGATTTATTAACAAATTGATCAATTATCAAAATAGTTCTTAGTTAGTCCTAGTGAAAAGGGTTCAGAAACATTCGAAGACTCTTGAGATGCAGCTGTCAGATTCTTCACCTGATATGACCCTCTAAGTGGAGATTCTCAAGTGGTTCATGGTGTTCATCTATTTTCTTCAGAGTTCTAAGCTCAGGGTTGAATGTCTTAGCAGTGGTCACTCTGGGTTGTTTTTGACTCCACCAAGACCTTGAGTATGTGTTTTTGTTCGTTTCCACTGTCTTTGTGTATCTTTGGCCTTCAGAAGCTCACAGCTGGCTTTAAAGATCCTGTTCCACTCCTACACACACATGCACGCTCCCACGTACACACAAACGTTCTCTCAAACCTTGTACAGGCTTTAATTTAGTGTAATCTTTTTTTGGGGGGGAAGATGTTGTCTGCTTTGTGGTAGTGATAGACAATGTTGACAACGACTACCACGACGCATTCAGAGGAAGTGCAGACTCCTACACAGACTGTGTGTCTCGATACCCTAAATATTATAGTTGTCTTGCAGCTGGTCTGCACATTTTATTCACAGTGATTTTATGGACTATAAAAAGTATTCAGTTCATTTTATTTAGATGTTAATATATGGTTTTACTTAAAAATGATTTTATCTTCGGAAATGCTTTGGTACTTAAAGCACACCAAAAGCGCTGAATCCTCCTGTCCTGAGCGCTTATATTTGAGGAAATAACTGAAGACTGTGGTGCTCTGGTAGTGGTTTACCACTGGAATAGTTAAAACCAACCACATGAAATGCTCCTCTGCTCCCTCTAGTGGTGGTGTGAGTAATGAACACAATGAACTGGAATTTTGTGGCTTGTAATTCATGTTTGGTAGTGTTGTACTCCTTAAAGGGGTCATATGATGCGGCGTTATGCAAATCTTCCCACATTGTCACGTAGACATGTGGGGGCGTGTTAGAACGAGCCGTTTAAGGTAGGCGTGGTTGACTCTTTACTTTTTAAAGAATATCTCTTTGGATTTGAGACTTTAGTCTTTGCAACTTTACAGATCTTCTTTATGCACCAAGAGCTTGTAACACTCCAAAGAGAAAAGAAAAATTTTAATCGCATCATATGACCCCTTTAAAAGATGACCAAAATAACCTTTAGCAAATATACACATTTAGACTTTGTCTTCTGGTATAATGGGTCAAATACATCAACGTTCAGTCTGGGGTCAGTAATATTTAATAGTGTTTTTGAAAGAAGTCTCTTTTGCACACCAAGGCTACATTAAATTTTGATCAAAAAGTAATACTGTGTACAATTTAAAATAACTATTTTCTGTTTTCAGAATGGTATTTATTCCTGTGACAGCAAAGCTGAATTTTCAGTTCCAGTTAAATTTTCCTTCCGAATCATTCTACTGTACTGATTTGGTGCTCAAAAACATAACTTTTTTGCAAGGAGCCATGGACTCTTTGAGAAATATATAATTCATAATAATAGCATTTATTGGAAATAGAAAACTTTTTGTAACATTATAAATGTTTTAGTTGATCAGTTTACTGTGTCCTTGCTGAATTTAAGTATAATAAAAAAAATTATTATAATAATAATAATTTTAAAAAATTCTTCCTGACCCCAAACGTCTGAATGGCAGTGTGTATTGATATGTCGTCTTGCGCTACACAGATTTTTGTCCAGTCGAATTCCCTTTAGAATGTGAATGTTTTCACAAACAACCTGCTTCAACAGGAAATGTCAGCAGAAGGAAAACTGCACTCAAGCGAAGTTGCTAATGTTTGAATTTGTTCAAAGTTGTTGAATGAATAGTCACTTTAAGTCTCCATATATTTCCTAAACCGTAATTTGCCACGCTTTTATGTAATTATACAGTAATTTGTGGTCTGTATTCAATAATGGAAGCCATTTTCCTTCTGAGGAGCTGGAGTGAAGCTACGTTAGTCACAGAGCCAAAGAAAGAACACGTCATGAGGCATATGTCATATCCCTTTTGATTTTTCCCATGTTGCTTTGAAGAGTTGAAGCTTGTGACGCGAGCATCTGTTTAGCGCAGGTGACCATTTGATTAATGGACTAAATAAGTGCTACAACATATAGAACTGCCATTTAAATGTTTGCTTTGCCGCAGTCAATCAGATTGTTTGATCTTTGAGTGAGGCTGCATAAATTACATGCATTATTGCATGACTCTCATCAGCTGGTATCACAACATATGCACACGTTTTCAACATCCACAACCATTTGGATGTATTATAAAGGTCTGATCACACCAAAAAGCACTCCAGTCATTCACATGTACTAATGCAAGATACAAACCATCTTAAAATACAACCTGTATAGGAACCTAAGTCTAGACTAAGTGCCTCTTTGCGTGTTTCTGTGTCTCTAGGACATCACGACAGCGCAGATCTCTGGTGGGCATTGCCAACAGGACCTCTTCTCGTCTTTTCACTACACCTTCTTCACTGCCCAATGGCTCTGCCACTCGTAGCCCAGAGGAGGAAGCAGAGGCCAATAAGATTTCCCTGATTGTTCAGGCCAAGGAGTCGACGGTTATCTCCAATCTGCGCCATTTCACCAGCTACCAGATAGAAATCCATGCCTGCAACCATGAGACTGACCCCTCTCGCTGCAGTATGGCGGCCTACGTCAGCGCCCGCACCATGCCTGAAGGTATGGGATTGTTATTTTATGACGCATTATTATTTTATATATTGTAGCTATTATTAATAACTTTAACTTGTAACCTTTACTTTGTTTCTTATAGAAAAAGCAGATGACATTGTGGGGCCGATAACCTGTGAGGTGTCTGAGTACTCCGTACACATCAGGTGGATGGAGCCTAAGGCCCCTAACGGCATGATTATTCTCTATGAAGTCCATTATAAGAGACTGGGAGATACAGAGGTGAGATGTTACATGAGACGGAGATCGAAGCCTGTATTCTTTCCAGGCTCTCTGCTCCCATGAATGCTGGCTGCACTTTTAATCTGATTTTTATCAATCCTGTCGAAATCAACATGTGCTAGCTCCAAATCAGCAAGCTATTTTAGCATCATTGCGTCAGCTGTGTATTTCTGTAACCATGGAGAAATCCAGCCAGAGACAGTGGAAATGTTCCTAATGTTGTTTTTGCTTTGGATAAACAAGGTTTGATTATATAAAGGCTAATAATTGTTGTAAGTAAGACAAAACATGATGGTTTTGCACTTAGTGGCACATGCACCTGTTTACGTTGATGGATTTGAAACACTCTGTTGTAACTGTTTATGCTGACATCTGGCAGTTTCATTAAAGTCTGATGAGTGATATTTGGATGTATTAGTGTGAGGTGGACTTTAAAAACATGATAAAAGCCAAGACTTTGCCACTGGCTAATGGACGTCTTCAGCTGTATGGGTTGTCTAACTGCATGCCTTTATGTCTTAGGAGCTGCACCATTGCGTATCCAGGAAGAATTATATTGCAGACGGAGGCTGCAAGCTGAGAGTGGTGCATCCTGGGAACTATACAGTGCGGATCAGAGCCACCTCTCTGGCAGGCAATGGATCATGGACAGAGCCAACACACTTCTATGTGCAAGACCTACGTAAGACGCTATTACACACACACACACACACACACAGCTTGTCTATAATGCTTATGAATATCACATTTTCAGTTTTGAAATTGTGCATAAGACCCACATAACTAAATCACACACTGATATAATGGTGCAAAGTTTCAACCTCTAGGTTTTTATTAGGGGGGAAAAAAATGTCAAAATGTTACATTTTAATTTGGAAGCCCTAAGATCCCATGGATTATATATTTTTTTAAACCGTAAAATTGGTTTTGTTGTTGTTGTTGTTTATTGGTCATTTTGTGTTTTAATTATTTATTTATTATATATTATTTTTTAATTCCTTGGCATTTTAAGGCTTTCTATAACATATTGGTGAATTATTATCAGTGTATGGATACTTACTATTTTTATTTACTTTTGTTTATTATTATTTGCTCCATTGTGTCCTGCACCTGTTACCAGACTTGGTTTGGATATGCACACTTTTTCAAATTTTTTCTATTGTGTGTATGTGAACAGGTGTGGACCCATCCAACATGCTGAAGATTGCGATGGGTCCTGTGATCTGTGTCTTTCTACTCATCGCGATGGGAGGTGTGGGCTTTTTCATGTTCAAGAAAAAGTAAGTGTTTCTCTTGTGAATATCCTTAAAACCAATGCAGAAAACTGATCTTAATGAGGTGTATGGATTTAATTTTGTTTGTTCATCTGACCAGACAAACAGAAGGTCCGACTGGGCGACTTTATACCTCTCCAAATCCAGAGTATTTCAGCCCAGATGAGGGTGAGCAACTTTCGTTTACCATTTCATGCGCTTAATGACCTCTGACAGAAAATGCTGTGGTCGATGCACATTTAATTTTGTTTTAATAGAACCAGAGTTGATCACATTAACAGTGTTATCGATTTAGAACGATTATCACATTTAAAATGACTTTCTCTTCTGTCTGAAATCTGTTCCATCTCAAATATGGGACTGTGTGTCATGCACATCTGTTGTGTTTGTGCAGTGTATGAGCCAGACGAGTGGGAGGTGCCTCGTGAAAAGATTACTCTGTTGCGAGAGTTAGGCCAGGGATCTTTTGGCATGGTGTATGAGGGCATAGGAAAGGACATAGTTAAAGGTGAGCCGCAGACCTGTGTCGCGGTGAAGACGGTTAACGAGTCGGCCAGCCTCAGAGAGAGGATTGAGTTCCTCAACGAAGCTTCTGTGATGAAGGCATTCAGCTGCCACCATGTGGTAAGACATGTCTCTACATGTCAGGCTTCCTGTCCTGCATGTTTTGTAGTTAGACTCGGTGTTATTTTAGTATTATTTATATACTATTTATTAATATTTGGAATTAGCTTTTTGTTTTTATATTTTTAGTTTTCATTTTAAGTTTTAGTAAGTTTATGTGCTTTTTATGTTCTTTTTCAGCTTTATTTTAATTATGAAAATAGTCTTTAAGACTAAGTTTAAGTTGTAGTTAACAGTAATAACACTGGTTGGACTGTGACATATTTTGATGGTAACGAACGTGATTTTGTGGGTTAGGTGAGGCTGCTGGGTTATGTGCTTTTTAAATATATATAATATATATATATATATATATATATTTCAGTTGTAATTTTAGTATCTCCACTTTTTTCAGTATCTAATATCTTTTATTATATAATTTATCATATAACAATTTTTTCAGCTTTATTTTAATTACTGAAAATAGTTTTAGTGGACCCACTTTATATTAAGTGGCCTTAACAATTATGTACTTACATTTAAATTAATAATTTGGTACAATGCACTTATTGTGTACATACATGTTTTTACATTGTACTTATATTTTAAAAATACCTGCATGTAATTACATCTGTGATTAATTTCTGTAATTACATTTATAATTACACAGTTGACCCATCCCTTACACCTTAACCCACCCTTAAACCTACCCATACCAACAAACCTGTCCCTAACCTTACCCATATCCCACCTCAATAGCAGCAAAAGTGTTTTGCAATACAATATGAACACAATAAGTACATTGTACTTAATTTTTGATGTAAGTACATAGTAGTTAAGGCCACTTAATATAAAGTTGGGCTGTTTTAGTTTTTAGTTGTACTTACACTGGTTGGACTGTGATGTTTTTTGATGATAACTGACATGATTTTGTGGGTTAGGTGAGGCTGCTGGGAGTGGTGTCTAAAGGCCAGCCAACTCTGGTGGTGATGGAGCTAATGACACATGGAGATCTGAAGAGTTACCTGCGTTCTCTCAGACCTGACTCGGAGGTAACAAACCATAGCAGAGGAGTCACTGTCAGACCTGCTACAGCTTTTAGATTAGTTATAAGGAGCTAGACTTTTAGATTAATAAAAGTACTGTTTAAATAATGGATTTTTGTTTTACTGTGCTGTTTGACAGAATAATCCAGGTCGGCCTCCTCCAACGCTGAAAGAGATGATTCAGATGGCCGCTGAGATAGCAGATGGCATGGCTTACCTTAACGCCAAGAAGTTTGTGCACCGAGATCTTGCTGCCAGGAACTGCATGGTGACCGAAGACCTGACTGTAAAAATTGGAGGTACAGTACCAATCATAGGGGTAAATTTATGTAAGTTTTAAGAGGTCCAGTCTCTAAATTCCCTGTGCAAAGCTCTGAACGATTCAAGGTACTAACATAACTGGTTCGGAAATCAGTATGGTAGTAGGTACTACATTGTATGAGGATTAAACCAAACAATAAATGCTAAATAGAAAAATATATAGATATATTATTGCACAAGATATAAAATATTAGATAATTAGAAATGTTCCCTTGGTAACTAACTGAAATAAATAGGTTTGTTGAAATACTAAAATTACTAAAACTGAAATAAAAATGTGCTAAAGATATATAGAAATATAAAAATCAAAGAAAAAAACATTAAATAACATAACTAATAACTTGTACTATTTTTTTTTTTATCAAGTCAAGTCACCTTTATTTATATAGCACTTTATACAATACAGATTGTGTCAAAGCAGCTTTACAGTGTTAAACAGGAAAATAATGTTTCAGTGATGCAAACAAAATTCATTTCTGCTGTAAAGCAGCTCTTAAAAGATGACAACAATAAACAGTCAACACAATGCAGACACTCTGAACTGATTCATTGTATTTTTGATTAGATTATGATTCCTGTGTTAATACCTTGTTAAAATGTGTACTTTTAATGATATGTGATGCTTCCCATGCTTCGGTTTCATGTGAAATGAAAAAACAGTGTATAATTATGTCCTTTTATGATAAATTATTCTCTGTCTGGGTGGAACTAGTCTTGGGTCTAGTTCAAAATGAGCTGCTGAATACAAGATCATAATGATAAAGGAGGTGCAAGTGTTGAAGCACAGGATGTGCTGTAATATATCTTGTATATTGTATTGTGTCATCTATTATTGTAAGAGCTTTCTAATGATGTTATTTTGTCTTGTGTTCTCTGCTGTCAGATTTTGGCATGACGAGAGACATTTATGAGACGGATTACTACAGAAAGGGTGGGAAGGGCCTGCTTCCTGTGAGAAGGATGGCCCCTGAGTCGCTGAAGGATGGAGTTTTCACAGCTCACTCAGACTGCTGGTGAGCTGACCATGTGCACACAAACAACCATAAAAAGACTTGCATTATTGTTGTAGGACAATGTTTAGCGTATGTTTTAATCAGTCATGAGCCATGCTGTGCTTGTCCAGGTCGTTTGGCGTGGTTTTATGGGAGATCAGTACTCTGGCTGAGCAGCCATACCAGGGGCTGTCCAATGAACAGGTCCTTAAGTTTGTGATGGAGGGAGGATATCTGGACAGACCAGACAACTGCGCAGACAGATTGTGAGTATATTACTGACATATTGCCTGTGTTTTTTTTTTTCTGCTGGACAGTCAGACCAGTAGTTACAATTTCTACTTGCCCTGCCAACATTTTCACTGGCGCATGAAAGAATGATAACTTTTTTATTTTTAGCAATACATTTTTATTTTTGCTAGAATTATATTTTTCAAGAACATTTTCTATATAATTTTGTTTTAAAATTTTTACAAAAAGAGTATTGCAAGAAGCTGAAAATTATAGCTATATACAGGGTTTCTGTGGGTCCTTAAAATTACATTTTAAATTTAGTTAAATTTTTTAATTTAGTTGTATCAAAATTAAGGCTATAAAAAGTCTTAAATGGTACAAGAAAGTCTTAATTATGATTTCAAGGGGTCTTAAATTTGGGGATGGAAAGACAAGAATCCCAATATGGCTTAATGTGACGATTAAACTTCAAAAGGCTATGATTTCATTGAATAAATATGAAAGCTGCCATGGCAGTAGCCAGGGTTTGAAAAATGAGTGAGGTCTAGGGTGGAGTTAAGAATTGTGCTATAATAACCCCACATACAACTCATTATATACACTAAACACTTTAAAAGAGACAGATATGTAGATATTTGTGAAAGATGTTTTTTCTGTTTTGGAGGAATGAGCATTGTTAAATTATATCATATTGCACCATTACTTTAGCTTATAATTACTTTATATTATAGGCATATAATTTTATCATTTGTTTATTATTCATTCAACAACACATAGGCCTATTACTGTTATAGTTTTCATTAATAACCATTGCTATATAGATGATAACTTTGTCTAGTGCTATACTCAATGAAATGGCATAGAGACGTAACCTACTTGTTCTACAGATCTCTGCACTAGTGATATATGGTACTGTTTTGATAGCGTTGATAACGTTTCTGACGGATAATATCATGTTTTGTTTTGTTGTTTTGCGTTTGCCTTACCGAATGTGGCATCCTGTCAGCAATAACATGTTTGTGGGCTCTTTTGATAAGTTCTGGCGATCATTGCAGTGTTGCCAGATATTGCTATGAAAACAAATAAAAACCGAAAAATAGTTAAAAAATAAACCGAAATGAGTTCAAAAAAGATATCGCTAACCCTAAACTGCAACTTCCCGCTCTATTAACTTTCTAAAGTGTCAAATTAAGTAGAAAAGACAAGTCAAAAGACGCTTATAATAACTGGATCCGGCAACCGGACTCCGCCAGCGCCTCGTAGCGATCATTTTCATACCACGGGCACTAAACATTCTTGCAAAATGTCTCAACTTAATTATACATGCAGACACTCATATGAGGAGCTTTAAACAGTAGATTAGTCATTTAGAGAACAAATTTTATTTTTGAACATGTATATTATATCATATATATTATAGCTAAATATAGCTGTTGTTAGTAACATAATCTGTTATTTTACACATTTTAGATCATATAATCTGACCCTTTTTTAACTTTTTGATTATTTTTAGATTACTTTTAAATAAAATAATTAATTAAAAATTTAATTCAAAAAATTTTATAAAAATAAAACACTTGCTAAAAAAAGACAAAATAGTTTATTTGTTTATTCTGTGTGGCCTCTCAATTTTTTGTGTAATTATAGCCACCTGACTAGTGGTTGGTCTGTGTGCAGTTCCACAAAGCAGTAAGACGTTCTGAACATATAGGCATTTTTAAAAAGGAAAATAAAAAAACAATAATTATGGAGAATCAATGAATTACGAAAAAAATACTGCCGTTTTGTCAATATTAAGTAATCATGTAATCAATAAAAAATAAACTGTAGGCTGATTTTGAATATTTTAGGTAATCTAATCTAATTACAAGTATTTTAACTTTTGGAATTGGATTACACAACCAAGATTACATATAATCAGTTACTACCCAGCACTGGCTTTAACCCAGCATTAATCTTTAACTCGTATCTATTTTTCCTGATCTTCCAGGCATAGCCTGATGCAGATGTCCTGGCAATACAATCCCAAAATGAGGCCCACCTTCCAAGAGATCATCGAGATGCTCCGGGAGGATCTGCATCCCTCGTTTCAGGAGGTCTCCTTCTTCTACAGTGAGGAGAACAAGCCGCCTGAGACGGAGGAGTTTGATATGGACCTGGAGAACATGGAGAGCATCCCATTGGACCCTTCCTCATACTCTCAGAGGGAGTGCTGTCTAGACGGTGACGAGGGCTCATCCGTGGGCCTTCGGGGGAGTTACGAGGAGCACGTGCCGTATACACATATGAATGGCAGCAAGAAAAACGGACGCATCTTATCACTACCCCGATCTAACCCTTCTTAATATTATTAACCCCATCAAGCTATATTAGATTGTTTTTCATTATTTTATAGATTCACTTTCATCAAGCTCTATATCAAAAGCTCTTCAGAAAGTAATCTCAGGACATTTGTTTTCTACTTTACTGCCTCAGTATGATGATGATGATACAGGGTGCAGGTTTTTTTCTTGTATTTAAAGAAGATACACATCAACTGCTTCTTTTCTGTCTTTTTTTTTTGTTTTTGCCAAGTTTCAAGGACTGGTCAAATGGAACAAACTGTGAAATTAACCTCAGACAACCAGAAGGCTGCTTTTAACCTTACATCTCCTCAGACTCTCCCCTCATCCACCAACCGATTTTCCCTGACTTTCTCCAGAAATAAAACAGAATCTAGAAGAAATTAAGAGGAAAAAAAGTGACCTTACTCTGTTTGTGGCCTATGTCATGACATCATGGAGTTGTGTCTGAATCTGTACACTTTTGGCTTTGGTGGCAAACCTGTTGAACTTGGGAACTGTAGGATGACGTTTAACATCCTTCCAAGAACAAACGGTCTACAGGAGAAGCCTGTACAAGACACTGCTTTTCTACCTGCTACTCAGTATTCCAGACTACACAGAGAACGAACAGATTTTTGGACTCTATTTTTTTTATTTATTTGCCTACCTGTGCTCTTTTTCTTCTTTTTTCCCCCTGGTGTTCGCACATTTACAGCTGAAGGATATTTAAACTGTTTTCAGGACTTATGACTAAAAGAGTTCCTCAGATTGACCAATAGTTGCTGCTTTGATATATTTTAGTGGGTATAGATGATGATAAAAGTATATATAAATATATTATTGATGATTTTTGTACATAGTTGATATGTTGTCATTCGAGAGTTGTTGCCGGTTGTAGAAATGTTTTTACATGTTTGTCTCGAATCTTTATTTTTTCTAATCTGAAAATCATACTAATCATCCTGGACCTCTGATCAGCCAGCAGCTCCAAGATGCACAGGAGTATCTAGATGCCTTCAGCTTCAGATGTCAAATCTTGATATCAATGGAAATAACTGCTGTAAATAAAGCAGTGAGGTGTATTCAACAAGAGCGAATGGATGGGTTTCTGTTGCGTTTTTCTTGTGAGAAAATATGTAAACTTCTGAGTGGTCGCTTACTTCCCCGTTTTCAGGACAGTCCTGGTTTTTGATGTCCTGTCCCAGACTGTAGCTGTCCCCAGAAATGTCCCTGTTTTACAGCACATTCAAAACAACCCTCAAATATACTGCAAAAAGCCTGACCAACATAGTAACATGGTTATCGGAGGAACTGTGTAGAGATATTTGAGAGCAAAGCACTTACCATGAATTATAAAGAGAGACGGTTATCGGATTCATTCAAGGTAGTGACATACTAACTCTACATATTAAATTAAAGTAATACTGATTTATGTAATAGATAACTGCCTGAACAGAGTGTGGGATTTTGCAAACAGAGTTTTAAATGTTCCCGAAAGTTAGCCGCCACAACGCAGTAATTCCCAAACACACACCATAACTACTTGCACTTAAAACAATTACATTTGCCGAAAGCACATGTGAATGCAAAAAAAGCCATAGGGATAGTTAAAATCCATTTCCACAAGCACAATAACATAAAATAACATTTGATAAGCTAGAAAATTAATTAAATAAAAATATGCATGAATGTATTTTACCGTTTGTTTATTTATTTAAATTAATCTATAATACCAGAGAGTTTCATGATATTTTGACCACTGATATAGAAAACGTCCCCGATTTCAGAAATCTGGTCACTATAGGCTGGCCTCTCCTCTTAATCCCAGTCTATCACATCCCCATCCCTCCTTTTTTTTTTTTACAGAGACCTGTGTTGTTCGCACAGACTTTTTTTATACGGGATTGCTTTCTCCTATTCTCCATAGTATGTCTCCTTCCACACCTGCGCCTGTCGGGATGGCTGATCGGGCTCCTCAGCTCCCGAATTCTTGGGGCTGGCGCTGACCTCTCCTCTTCATCCCAGACTATTACTTTGTCCCACAAGTCCCAGGACATCCAGAAGTCGTCGTCGGCCCAAGAGGCGCAGGAGCTTTCGCCGTGGTGGAGGGCCATATCACCAGCCGCTCTCATGTCTATCTGGCGACCTTCACGCTCCCATTCCTCACTATATTGCCCTTCCCATTCGCCAAGATTGTGCCAAGACGTCTCGTTCATTAACGTCTTCACGTGAAGACTCGGAACTGACGCGCTTTTTCTTGCAACGATATCCATTGCTAGCTTCGCAATTTAAAAGCTGCGCAAAACGTATCAGACACATATCGAGAGGAGTGTGAGCACAAGAAAGCGATTTGACCAGAGCATTGATTACACTTTATTTATACGCTTCTGTAGAATGCAGACCATTTGCCATTGTAGTGACGTCATCGTCACTGCAAAGTTCCATTTACAATCATGTGGAACTGGAATATATTCATGTCTCGCTTCCCTGTTTCTGTATGTTTCTACAAGTTTTGTAATAAAAAAAAAATAATAATAAAAAACAATCATGTGGAACTATTGGGAGTTAAACAGTTTCTCAAGAGATTTTGCTGCCACCTGCTGTGTAACATGGTCGACTGTAAAAGCTGTAACTTAATATTAATGCTAAATTACAGAATCATATTATGAATTCGCAGGTTCTCTCTCTATATAATAGTATCTTTATACTATTATATACTACTAGATAATATTCCACAAAATAGGCTACATTTGCCAAAACTGTGAGAGTGATTAATAGGCTACAGACAAACACAGTCTCTTATATTCAATTATCTTTTGTGTTTCATCATTTGTTTCGAGTCTTATTTGCTTTATTTCAATTTCTATTTTCTCACCCTTTCTCCTAATCTTGCAAACGCTTCGTCTAGCTGAAATTTGAAGTTCAATGTAACAATGAGTGTTTAACCAACAGAAGGGTGTGAGCCAGGGTTATAATACATAAAAATAAAACCACAAAAAAAAGTTCATTACTTGAAATAAAATAAACTGTAATAAAAAAATAATAATAATAAAAAACAATCATGTGGAACTATTGGGAGTTAAACAGTTTCTCAAGAGATTTTGCTGCCACCTGCTGTGTAACATGGTCGACTGTAAAAGCTGTAACTTAATATTAATGCTAAATTACAGAATCATATTATGAATTCGCAGGTTCTCTCTCTATATAATAGTATCTTTATACTATTATATACTACTAGATAATATTCCACAAAATAGGCTACATTTGCCAAAACTGTGAGAGTGATTAATAGGCTACAGACAAACACAGTCTCTTATATTCAATTATCTTTTGTGTTTCATCATTTGTTTCGAGTCTTATTTGCTTTATTTCAATTTCTATTTTCTCACCCTTTCTCCTAATCTTGCAAACGCTTCGTCTAGCTGAAATTTGAAGTTCAATGTAACAATGAGTGTTTAACCAACAGAAGGGTGTGAGCCAGGGTTATAATACATAAAAATAAAACCACAAAAAAAAGTTCATTACTTGAAATAAAATAAACGTTAACTAAACTAAAATTATATAACTTCAGTTAGTTGGCAAGGCAACAGTTCTCATCTAATTTAGATCAGCTTGTACTAAAATAACTAAAATAGAGACTGAAATTAAAGGAATAACAACTATACAGACATATTTAGAATGAAAACTACTAAATGACAAAAACACAACCAAATTGCTGCAGGTGAACTCAGCCGCCGCTTTCTGTTCCCGGCATGCCTCGAAGTGCGCGTGCGCCTGTGAGTGTGTAGAGTGATCGTTGCCTTGTATGCACTGCACTTGTTGTAACCGGGCCGACGGATGCTTAAGAAAAGAAACTGTCCTGTAAAAAAGAGGAGAGGGTAGGATAGGATAAGGAATAAACTGTTTGAAGCTGAAATGATGTGATGTTTCTTAAACAATGGTGAGTAGAAACTTCTGTAGCTAAACTTTGCGCGAGCCTCAATGTGTTTAAAGTTTTTGTCATCGAGGCCTCGTGTTTTTTAATTGACATTGTGGTTTATAGTTTACGAAACGTGTTTTTGTTACTAAACAATATTTTTGGTTTTGTTTAGAGATATACGACGTCTTTTAAATGCTATTTTTTAGTTTTTGTGGCATATTCACTTATCGTTGCGGCTGCTTCTGAGATGAGCGTCACGTATGAGATCAGGTAGCAGGAAAAGTTTCGCTGTGATTTTTCTTCAGGATTAAGAATGATGCCTCTTTAATTCTGAAATAACCACAAATATAGCTTCGTGTTTTAATCAGAACATGATATGTTTATTGTGGCGAGTGGTCAGTGAATTTGCATGTTTTCTGATCGATTACACTCTGCTGTGATGATGAGGAATGGTTGGTTGATCTGTTCGACCATTACATTCCTCGCGTTTTGTCTCTGATTAATGACTAATTCATTCATGACACTAGTTTCACCAGTGTCAGATCTGTAGAAGGACTGAGTTTTTGGTTTGTTTGTGGTCTTGTGACTTTGTGTTTGTAACATGACTAAACTTGTTTTCCTTTGTTTTAGATACTTGATTTTAATCAAACAGTGACTAGTATATTTTTCAGTTTCACTTGTAACCTTTCATACCTAGTACTTATTCCAGTAATACCTTAGAAACCAGTAGTGACTAGTATCTGTTCAATTAGACACTACGTTCTAGTAATTCTATTTTTCTAAGTGTCTGGATAAAAAAAACTATAATATTTATTTTTTTAATTTTGTTACATTTTTTTGTAATTTTGTTGAATTGTCATTTTTATTATTTTTTTATTTTTTCATTAAATTGTATTTATTTTAGTACACTGTTAAACTAGCTGAAATGTTTTTTTAAATCTTTTTTTAATTTTGTTACATTTTTTTGTAATTTTGTTGAATTGTCATTTTTATTATTTTTTATTTTTTCATTAAATTGTATTTATTTTAGTACACTGTTAAACTAGCTGAAATGTTTTTTTAAATATATATTTTATTTCAAGTAACATGTTTTTTTAAGTTTTAGGTAACTATAATAACCCCAATTCTGACTAGGACTCCTGACTAAGACAAAGGTAAATAGAATTATATATATATATAAAATGAGATGAACCACCACCATCATGGGGTCATGAACTGAGAAATCAAAATTCCCTTGATCTTTTGACATATAAGAGGTCATTGTACTATAAAAACATCCTGTAACTTTCAGAACTCAAAACTTTCTCTTTAGTCTAAAAACAGCTTATATTGACGTCAATCTGCCAAAACAACAGGTTGTGGAATGTGCCACTTTATGACGTCATTGTGTGGCTAAATCAGAGATTTCAATCGATTCAAGCATGTAGTGTAAATAACGAGAGAGGCAAAGGTCTAAGATGGCTCTAAAAACAAGATGCTGTGCAGTCAGTGCCACACTGTTAGACATTTCAAAGCGATTTTACAGTAACTTACTGGCAACACTGTTGGCAGTAAGTTACTGTAATTAAGATTTACAGTAGCAAACTGTATTTGGTTTACAGTAGCAAACTGTACTTTTTACAGTAAATTACTGTAAAATCCAATTAATCAGTATACTACTGTAATTAATTCATTTTAATATATTTAGTTAGATTTTATAATTTTTATATAGAATTCATTTTATTTTTACCCTACATAGGTACTACTGGCATTCAATTAAAACAGACACAATAATTACAAAATATCAAATTCTTTATTTAAAACATTGCATGTATAACACTTATAAATACAGTCTTCCAATGCTGGAACAGTGCATCTTCATTTTTCCTCTCTTAGGACATTTTGCAGTGCATTATGTTGTATCATCTGGATTTATCCTAACAAAGAATATTTAGGCAACAGAAAACATAATGGGGAAAAAAGATAAGCAGCCAAAGAATACATAGCCATCTGCAAAACCCAGGTGCTGCTCCAAAACGTGGCCACCACCTTTGCTCACCATCCACTTTGTTAGTGACAGAAATGTCTTCTTTGAAAAACAAGTAGAAATGGCACACTTTTAAAAGGCAAACCCCATATAAAATACGCACATCTCTCAAAACCATAGTTGTTCTCTTACCATGAATTATCAGTCTCAGGGTGG